GCTAAACTGCTAGGCCACCTGAGCAGCCCTCTACCATCTCTTTAGAAAGTGCTGTGATAACAGTATTATAACAATAAACATCAGGCTGTTTAGCTCTATGTACATTATGTTGCTTGATCTTTACAATAGCCTCCTGAAAATTAAGTATCTTACCTTAGGTTCCAGTCTTGGAAATGGTGAAGCTGAGATTCTAACTCTTGACCCTTGTGCTCCACAGCACACTCTCCTTAATGTCCTATGGTATTCCAAATTCAACCTGACTTTCATCTTATGTTCTAGCTTTTTTTTTTTAAGATATTATTTATTTATTCATGAGAGACAGAGAGGGAGGCAGAGAGACAAAGGCAGAGGGAGAAGCAGGCTCCATGCAGGGAGCCTGATGTGGGACTCAGTCCTGGGTCTCCAGGATCGCACCCTGGGCCAAAGGCGGCGCTAAACCGCTGAGCCACCCAGGCTGCCCTCCTCTTATGTTCTAAGGAAGCTAAGGTTTAGTCCCACCACACATGCCCCCCCATCGTATTCACTTAATGGTCCTTGTAAGTTTTTTCCCTTTCTTAACTGTCACTTTCTCCTCAATTTTAAAAGCTTCCTGTTTTTCTAAGGAAAACGAGGTATAAAATGTATCTATATTTTACGTTTTAAATCCTGTCTTTTTCTATAGCTGGGAAATACTGACAATAGTAAGTGGGTGGGTAAAGTTCTGATTCTCCCAAGTATTTTAGTACAGTCCATTTCTCTTCATCTAATGCTTTGATGAATAACATATATGAATACAGTCTGTTATGGTGGTATACATATTGTCACTGGCGTATTTTACCAGGCAATTAAAGTGTGTTTATCAGGTGACAAATATTTATGAGTTTAACAGATGCATAATTTTGTTTCCAGAATGTCTACCAGAGTCCTTTTGGCCACTCTTTCCATCCCTATTACCCCTGAGCGTACTGATATTGCTCGACTTTTGGATATGGATGGCATTATAGTAGAAAAACAACGTCGCCTTGCAACATTGCTCGGTCTTCAAGCCCCACCAACACGAATTGGCCTTATAAACGATATGGTTGGTATAAGTTCAAGCATTCTTCAAACTCAGAATAGAAGGCTTTATGGTCAGGTTTTATTATTTGTGCCAGGCGGTTCTGATGGATGGACTAGTTTTAGAACTACAGGTGTAAGTCACTACAGTGTTCTTTTAAGGTGATTTCTCTGTGGTGAGTGGGCTGGAGTTAAATTCATTGTTGCAAATAAGAGTTGGACTACCTTTGAGAGATAATGTGGACCACTCAAAAAAAAAGTTACGGTGGGTAAGAAGGTTCAGGCCTTATTTCAGAGGGCTGCAGGAAAACTAATCGAGCTGACAAATGGTAGAAGTAGGGTGACCAGTATACGAAAGCGTGAGGTGTAAATTAAGCTTGATTCTGGACAGTGAAACGATTTCCAGTGTTTTCTTTTTTAAATATTCACTTTATGTTACTAATGTAGCGGCTCTTGATCAGTGCTATGCAATGAAATTGTGAAGTATTCTTTAAAATGCAGATTCCTACTAGCACTTGGCTGGCTCAGTCAGAGGAGCCTGTGACTTGATCTCATGGGGTTGTGAGTTTGAGTCCTATACTGGGTGTGGAGATTACTTAAAACTTAAAAAAATAAATATATGTATATGTATGTGTATATATATATATATGTATATATATAGTTTCTAGATTGTACCTACTACATACAATAATTAGTTTTAGAATATAGAACCTAAAATTGGTGTACCTTTATGGTGTTTTATGCTGATGGACTTTTGCAGTTAGTGGAAGTTTATCATATGCTAGGCAAGTAACACCTAAAAGGATTTAGACTTTAGGGAGTCTGACTCGGTAATCTGACTTAGTAGTTATTGTAATATAAGACCTCCAGTAAACTACTTTGAGACAACGAAAAAAGAGGGACAGTTGCTAGAGAAAAGGCCTTACTTTTCTGGCAGATTTGGTTAAGAACTAAGTAGTTTTCTCCTATGATATTTTTCTATTACAGTAGTAAGGCAAATTCCCTTTGTGGTCATTTTTTAAAAACAACCTTATCTGTAAAACAGTATTTCTCTGTATGCCCCCAATTTCATTAGCAACTGGTTCTTAATGCAGAAAGCCAATTAGAAATTTTAGTGAGAAATATACTCTAACGGATTACAGTAGCCCGTCTTAGCATATTTCTTTTTTGGGGGAAGGGGTGCTAAATGGAGAATCAAGAATAATTTCTTTTTAAAGATTTATTTATTCATGAGAGTCACAGAGAGAGGCAGAGACATAGGGAGAGGGAGAAGCAGGCTCCTTGTAGGGAACTTGATGTGGGACTTGATCCTAGGACCTTGGGATCATGCCCTGAGCTTGAAGACAGATGCTCAACCATTGAGCCACCCAGGCATCCCTCAAGAATAACTTATTGTTAGGAATAAAAGCTGGGAGAATTTTATTTGAATGTTTATACCACAGCTAATTTCAATAAATACGTAGGGGCCCTTCCAAGGAGAAGTTTTTAAGAAGTGTGGGACATCATTCGTGCACCCATTTTGCATTGGAGATGCAGACTAGAGTGTCTGTGTGTGGAGATAGGATCCACTGTTGTTTACCTGTCTTGTTACTCATAGGACTGTATGGGACACACTCAAGTACTTGCAAGTATTTCCCAACATATGAAGGATAAAGATCCAAACACATTATGTGCCCTAGTTTATAGCTTTTAGCTAAGAGAAGATTCACTTATGGGCAGTTTTGAGATTTATGAAATTAGGACACTTTTTGCCTCTTTTAAGAACGGTTATGCAGTGGCACCCTTAGCTGTGTTCTAGTCATGTATAAGAATATAAATCATAAATGTAATTGGGTAAATTCTCATAAGGTGGTTTCTAGTCACCACTCCTCATTCTCCCCCATAGCCACTGCTCTGATTGGTAACCACATATTAACTTGCTTGTGTACTTTGTATGAGATTTAAGTTCTCTATAAATGTAATAATATGTTAAGTTTTTGTTCTTACCATTATTTTTGCGATATTTATTCACATGTTGAATGTAGTTGGTTTTTCTTTGGTCATTTCTGTATAAGAACGTCTCCTTATTTGTATTTTTTTTTTCTAGTTTAGGACTATTATGAGTAGTTTTGTCATGGTAATTTGTATGTGCTACAATTATTTGTAAGCTGTGGTATTATATTTATTACTACCAGTACATTAGGTTGGCCTTATGAGTTGTCTTTACAAATATTTTATTGATCATGATTTAGGAGTTTTTGTATCTTTATTAAGCTCTTGGAGACCTTTTTACTCTAGGTAGATGCATAATTTGGGGTTAGAGATACAAAGGTAGTTTTCCTTTAAATTCCTCTGATAAATTTAAAGGGTAAGGCTGGTTTTTCAGACATTTTCTAGATTTCCAATCTATTTCCAATCTTTCTTACTTACATTCAGTTCAACTGGAAATCTAGTTGGAAAATTCCTTTCAGTTAATTAAACCTTTTATTTATTGTAGGTCAGATTCAACGTACTACAGTATGTTGTCCCTGAAGTGAAAGACCTTTACAATTGGCTGGAAGTAGAATTTAACCCCCTAAAACTCTGTGAGAGAGTCACAAAGGTAAGACTTTGTATTTTAGTTTTGTTTATGCTACCATATAGCTGGCCTTTTTGCTATTTCAGATTGTATTTATATTGAGAGAGAAGAATTTCCCTATATGTTTTAATTTAATGCACATTTCATTGTCTTTTTTCTTTATGTCAAGAGAAAAGATATTTCTGATGTGCTAAATAAAATCTTTGGAGGTAAATTAGCAGCATGACTAATGTAGCCATTGCTGTCAGTCACCTTCAGACAAGTCTCGATATAGCTTTGTATTACATGTGTATTTCCCTTCTCTGTGGGATGCTTTTATATATTTAAAAAATGTTGGAAAATTTCACAAATGTTTGAGTGTTACTTAGAAAGTGTAATTCTCTTTCAATGTAATGGATTTTACAGGTTCTAAATTGGGTTAGGGAACAACCCGAAAAGGAACCAGAGTTGCAACAGTATGTTCCACAGCTGCAAAACAATACCATACTCCGTCTTCTGCAGCAGGTAGACACTTTTAAATGAGTGTTTTATTTAGAACAGGAATTTCTCCCCTTGATTTTTTTTTATCACAAAAATAAAAAGTTTTAGCATCACCTAAGAAGTGAACACTTCACCAAATTCTGTCCTTGCCAAAATTAGTCTGTCTTTGATTTGAAAAACAATTATTCTATGCAGTTTGCTTTTTCCTCCTTTATTGTATAACTTTGTCTTTGTACATCTCTCCTCTTTAGCCATTTAGATCTTACTCCTTTTAATACTTACGTGGTTTTACATTGTCTAAAGGGTACTGTGATTTATGTATTCAGACTCTACTGATGGAAGTCTGTATTTCTAGGGGTTTTTTTTTTTTTTTTTTGCTGTTAGAAAATGTTGCAGCAGTGAATATTTACATACATGTATTCTTGCATACTTCTGTGGCTTTCTGTAGTCTAGGAAGTGGAATTAGTCACAGAGCTTACACATTTAAAGCTTTAATAGCTCTTTAAGATTGAATTAATGGGGCAGCCCAGTGGCTCAGTGGTTTAGCACCGCCTTTGGCCCAGGGCATGATCCTGGAGACCTGGGGTCGAGTCCCAGGTCGGGCTCCCTGCATGGAGCCTGTTTCTCCCTCTGCCTGTGTTTCTTCCTCTCTCTCTCTCTCTCTCTCTCTCGTCTGTCTTGTCTCCCATGAATAAATAAATAAAATCTTAAAAAAAAAAAGATTGATTAATGAATACCAGTAGTGATTGGAGAACCTTTTCTTTTACACTACTTATTGTTAGTCAAAGGAAATACTGGTAAAAATATTTTAGTATGATTTATGTAAGTTTGAAGATTATTGTTTATGATATGGCTTCAGTGTTCCTGTTTTGTCTTCCGTTTATTTCATTGGGAGGGGGCTTTTATGATATGTTCACTTGGAGTATTTGTGCACATTTCATTGACCTGCTTTTCTTGTATATGTGAGCAGTGTTATTTCTTATGTGCTATACAAATAGTTGAAGGTTAATTAGCAGTATAACTAAATGGTAATGCTGCCAGTCTCCTTCAGACACATAACAAATTTATTGAAAGTGTTCAGATGAATTAGGTAAGTAGCAAGTCTTTATCTACAAATATGTGGCCATTCAGGGCTTTTTGTTTTATAAAACTAGGATTTGAAAGTATTATGCTTCTGAGGAATGTTATGCTGTGATGATTCAAAGCATAGCATTTGGGATTGGTAGCCTTGAATTGGAATTCCAGCTCCAGCAGTGTAGTGTTAACATTTACTCTGAGCTTCAGTTTCTTTTCTCTGAGAAATGGGCATAATTTCTACTTCTCATGCTTGTGTAAGACTGCGTGAAAAAATGTCAAATGATAGCTGTTGTTACTAACCTTGTGTTTCTTATGCAGGTGGCACAAATTTATCAGAGCATTGAATTTTCTCGTTTGACTTCTCTGGTTCCTTTTGTTGATGCTTTCCAACTGGAACGGGCTATAGTCGATGCAGCCAGGCATTGTGACCTGCAGGTATGTGCTGGAAGGGATACTAGGTGGAAGGCCTTTAAGGAATAAAAAACATATACCCTTTGTTTGTCAGCTTTTGGTTCAGTGGCACCTTTTTAAAGTACTGAATCAATTTTCTGGCTTTTGTAATTAACATTCCTAATTTTTGTCTCAGTTGAAATTTTTTATCAAAAGTCATTCATTTCTAGAGTATCTCATATTTATATATAGATACAACTATTGATGGTGTCCTTTAATTCTCAAAGGTTCGTATTGACCACACTTCTCGGACCCTTAGTTTTGGATCTGATTTGAATTATGCTACTCGAGAAGATGCTCCAATTGGTCCTCATTTGCAAAGCATGCCTTCGGAACAGATAAGAAATCAGCTAACAGCAATGTCCTCAGTACTTGCAAAGGCGCTTGAAGTCATTAAGCCAGCTCATATACTGGTATGCATCTTTGAGAAAAATGATCTACAGAATTTTTGAGGGGCCATTATGCTATGTCTTGTGCAAAAAGGTTTGAGATGATGTCTGAGAAAATTGGTTTATTATATATTTCCTATTCAGTTGTATTTGCTAGTATGGGTGTTAACACCTGCTATGCATATGATGGATTCCCTTACCCCCACCTCCATGCTCTTTAGGGAGTCCTATGCTTCTTGGGCTTTTCCTTCTTGGTTAAGTTCTTATCTGTGTGCTCTGTTAGGATTTCTTCTTGGCTTGCTGACTTCGTTCATTCATTCATGATAGACACACAGAGTGAGAGGCAGAGACACAGAGGGAGAAGCAGGCTCCCTGCAGGGAGTCTGACGCAGGACTCGATCCTGGAACTCCAGGATCACTCCCAGGGCTGAAGGCAGGCGCTAAACCGCTGAGCCACCCAGGGATCCCTGGCTTGCTTACTTTAAAGTAGATTTGTTGCAGAGAAAACTTGACTAACAAAGGTTCTTTAACTACATCACTCCTATTAATAGAAGACTATATAGGTCATAGTTTTTGATGCTGGGAACTAGTAGCTCGAATAACATCATCTCCTATTCTTAAAGCAGACACATGTAAGGGTAATGCATCAGGGTTATTTAGTAATTTATTGGATGCCTAATACCATGATGTGTCACAGAAAAAAAATTTTTAAATGTGTTTGTTTTTGAAGCAAGAGAAAGAAGAACAGCATCAGTTGGCTGTTACTGCGTACCTTAAAAATTCACGAAAAGAGCATCAGCGTATCCTGGCTCGCCGTCAGACAATTGAGGAAAGAAAAGAGCGCCTTGAAAGTCTGAATATTCAGCGTGAGAAGGAAGAACTGGAGCAGAGGGAAGCTGAGCTCCAGAAAGTACGGAAAGCTGAAGAAGAGAGGCTGCGTCAGGAGGCAAAGGAGAGGGAGAAAGAGCGCATCTTACAGGAACATGAACAAATCAAAAAGAAAACTGTTCGTGAGCGTTTGGAGCAGATCAAGAAAACAGAACTGGGTGCCAAAGCATTCAAAGATATTGACATTGAAGTATGTAGCACATTACTTCTTAACTTTGATCCACATCTCAGAAGCATAGTCGTTTACTGTTTATTGATTACATTGGCTTGTCTGGTTATTTTCACTTCGTTGGTACGCCTGATTTTTTCATCTGTGAAGTAAAACATTTGTTTTTAATGGCTCTGCAGGTTTTAACATATATTGAAACAGAAATATGGCTATCGAAAAGCATTTTTATATTGCCCAAGTTTACCCATTGTGAGCATATACTCATTGTATAAAAAGTAATTTACGTTTTGATTTTAGAAAATGTTATTCCATACACATTTCTTTTATATTCTTATTAGTGTGCATTTGTGATATTTTTCAGGATCTTGAAGAATTGGATCCAGATTTCATCATGGCTAAACAGGTTGAACAGCTGGAGAAAGAAAAGAAGGAACTTCAGGAGCGTCTGAAGAATCAAGAAAAGAAGGTAGATGAAAGAACTGGTTGGTAAACTTTTAACATGCCAGATTAACTGAAACAAATTTTTAAACTATATTTGTTTTCATGTCGTTCAGATTGACTATTTTGAAAGAGCTAAACGCTTGGAGGAAATCCCATTGATAAAGAGTGCTTATGAAGAACAGAGGATTAAAGACATGGATCTGTGGGAACAACAGGAAGAAGAAAGAGTAAGGTTTCTGATTACCTGTAACATTTGTAGTCTGTAAGCTATAATTAAATCCTCTGTCAGTAATGGGGCCACAGTTTCAAAATTTATTATTTTGTGTTCTCTTGCCAGGAATGGTGCTTTAGTGGCTGTATACTAACAGATTGATGGACAGATTGAAATTCACAAGAGATTAAACAATGAAACTTATAAAATATAAAGGGCAGCTGAAATGTTTACTTAAAAAAAACAGCTTTATGGGGATATAATTCACATGCCATACATACAGTTCACTTATTTAAACTGTACAGTACATGGTTTTCAGTATATGTATAGAATTGTACAGCTATCTAATTTTGGAACATATCCCAAAAGACCCCCTTTTCCTCCCCCACCACCTTGGCCTTCTGCAGCCAGCAGTCACATTCTGTCTCTATATTTGCCCTCCCCCCCCCCCAAAAGATTTTATTTATTTGAGAGAGAGGCAGAGACTAGGCAGAGGCAGGCTCCCCTGGGGGTGCCTGATGTGGACTTGACCTGGACTTCCAGGATTACAACTGGAGCCAAAGGCAGATAGATGCTCAACCACTGAGCCACCCAGGCGTCCATAGATTTGCCTATTTTTCAGACCTTTTATGTAAATGGGGTCGTATAGTACATGGTCTTTCATGACTAGGCAGTACCTTTTGATGTTTTGCTAGTATACATAATATATTTATATAATGAAAGAAAAGCAAGGTTTTCAAGTGCTTGTAGTGGCCACATTTGTGATTAAAAACTAGTGGCCCCATTCTGGTTAAAAAAAGAAAAGGAAAATAACTACAGGCAGCACAACTGTGGGGACTGTGGTATGAGAATGCAGCCTCTTGTTCCAATTTAGTTATCTTTCTGGGCTTCATTTGCCAGTTTCTCCCATTTTTTTCAGAAGTTAGAATTTTTGTGATAACATACACAATTAGGGAAACAAGCATGCAGACCAGGTAAAATACTTGAGATGATCTGCTACAGACTATCCCGAAAGCTTCCTTTTTCCCCCTTAAAGTGCAAAGGGAATAGCCTACTTAAATCAGTGGTGTACCCTGTCTTAATCTCTAGTTTTCTTTTCTTTTTCTTTTTTTTTTAGATTCTATTTTATTTATTCATGAAAGAGACAGAGAGAGGCAGGAACACAGGCAGAGGGAGAAGCAGGCACCACTCAGGGAGCCCGACTGGGACTCGATCCCAGGTCTCCAGGATCAGGCCCTGGGCTGAAGGCGGCGCTAAACTGCTGAGCCACCTGGGCTGCCCTCTAGTTTTCTTTAAGGGAGAAAATACTTTTTATAATTAAACCATAGTGATTATTACCATGAAGTCTTTTGTGTTACTGTCTACGTTATAGTTTTTCTTTTATAAAAATTTTCGGTATTTTGAGCCTAAATAAAAACAGTTCTTACAGAGAAACTGCAGGGGTCCTTTATCCGTCTGTCTTCTGTCCCTGATTGCCTTCCTAGGAATATGTGTGGGCATAGATGATACTAACCCTTCCATTTTTATGGCATGATAGAAGGGGCAGAGGAGCTGCTTGTCATTCTTCAGGAATATGTCAGGAATTAAGAGTAAATTACTAATCAGATAACAAATGCTTTGAAATTTAACTTTATATTATGTACTTGCAGATTACTACCATGCAACTAGAACGTGAAAAGGCTCTTGAACATAAGAATCGAATGTCACGGATGCTTGAAGACAGAGATTTATTTGTGATGCGACTCAAGGCTGCACGACAGTCTGTTTATGAGGTGAAATGACTGGTTTCAGGAAAACATTTATGAGCTTTTTAGTTTTGCCTTAAGGTGGTTCTTTAACACAGTTGGTACATTCTGTCTTGAGTTGACATTTTATAGTGATCGTTCAAATAATATTTTAATAGAAAGTTTCTGAAAATATTTTTTAGGCTATTAAGCCGTCAACCATTGCTGTAAAAAAATTTTTCTGAAGGTGAAAGTGGACTGCATAAAATTTGCTTTTGTTTACTGTTTGATTTAGAAAGGAAAAAGGCAGATCAAAATGTCCTGCACTTAAATTCTAATTTAGTCCTTCAGTTTGTTTTGTATAAAAACCCACTGGGTGTAGAAAATAGCGATCAACAATTTAAAATTTAAAGCATTTGAGATATGAAGAAACTCCACAGTCATTTGGAAATTATTAAAGATTTCATTTCTTTATGGTGGGGATGGTCAGAGAGAATCTCAAGCTGGCCCCCCCACACACACCAAAGCAGAGCCCAATGAGGGGGGCGGTGCTCAATCTCTTAACCCTGACATCATGACCTGAGTTGAGACCAAGAAACGGATACCCAATGGACTGAGCCACTTTGGCGCCCCCCATGTGGAAATTTTTGTACTTTTTTTTTTAAGGACTTTTTGTTTGTTTCTTGTTTTTTTTTTTTTTTTTTTAAT